ATGGTGTATACATCATCATCTGGAACCTTTTTGCAGTGACTGTGCTCTGGCTTGATGGGACTATAGTTAAATTTACTAACAAAGACTTTATCAATTCCATACGTGAATTTGTGTAAGGCTTCTGCTGCTATTTTATTAGTATGCTAAAATTACCTCAATTTTATATATACATACATTCTCAAACAAAAAATCTAGATGTTTGACACTTTTAGCCCGAGTCTGGCCTTCATGCTCAGTTCAGCTAACAATCCCTTGGCTCTAGCTTTATACTAAATAGATGGAAATGGGAGTGGTAGCAATTTTGTCATCAAACTCTCTATAAAAGAGCAATCAAGAGTATTTCCCAAGGAACAAGTTTCCTTTAATGCGTCTCATTCCTTTGCTTGCATACATTCAGCTTCTCTGTATTTGGAGACTTGTAATTTCTACTGAAATAGGAACAATACAGATTTCAACAATCAGTGATGGTACATCAGTAAATGCAATGTTCATTGCACTTTAGTGGCGTGTTCGTTATTTCAGCTTTGTATACTGTATGAACCAAGAGCATTCTGGCATTGACCCTGCATTGTACGAGTTTCAGGTGGTTGTTGTATTTTCCAGCATTGACTTAGTCTGCCCTTGGTGATTTTACAACAGTGAAAGCAGTGGACACATTCTCACGATAATGAAACAAAACAATGTAGAAAACATTCTTTCGCATTAAAAAAACGAAACTGGAAACTGGAAAGGAAAATTCACAGAAGAATGTGGAGCAATTGTTAAGTGATACAGCGATTGTTAAATTCAAGACACTGGATTTATAGTAGTAGCAGCAGCACTAGCTACAGAAAACTTAACAGTACACTCAAGTGTGTCAGTAACAACAACCAATAGGAGAATCACAAGCGTTTTGCAGAGAGGCTGTTCTGTTTCCCACTCAAACTCTGGCAGTGTCTGCTGGACAGTTTGTTTTCGTATTCCCCATATATTGACATAACCACATTCCCATTCCATGCCTACATGGCACAGACTCCTCATGTTGGAACAATCAACACAAATGTGAATCTATATATCCCCTATATATATAAGCTTTAAACAAAGTTCCCTCATGTCTCTGATGCATTCTTTTTTTGTTGTTGTTCCTTTTTAAGAAGTCTATTTCTTTCTGTCTTTCAAGTCTTTTGCTTTATTTTCTCTTTCCCTATTTTCTTTTTCGTATTTGTCCTTATCTGACTTTGTCACACTGTTATATGATGGCGGGGAGGCTGTGGAGGGGGTCATGTCCATTTTCTCTGACGTGGAGTTCTCATTGAACTTGCTGATGACCATCACATCCTTGTCAGGGTCATGCATGCCCTCTTTCAACTGCTCCTTGTAGAGGGCTGAGGCCTTCTTCATGGCCAGGCGGATCATGTAGCGCCGGAAGGCTCTCTGGATGATTATAGCAGACATTTCCTCCTGTTTGCGGCGCAACGTGGTGGTGATGGGCTCGTAAGACACCTTAGAGGGGTTGGAGGCCATAAAGCGGTCCTCCATCTGTCCGCGCAACATGTCCATTTCACCGCCTTCACCCAAAACTCTTTTAGTGAAGGCAAACAGAATATCGAGGCAGTGGATGCGCTCACCACTCACCATGGGCAGGTCCATGGAGATGAGCTGAATCATATTAGGCTTGGGTATGCGTAGAGGTGGATCTAGAGCATCTGCAAAGTCAGAGAGTTTGCTGTACGCCACAAACTGCGTGGCATCAGGATCAAAGCGTTCCCACACTTCATAGAACATCTCAAAGTCATCCTCGCTCAGTGGCTCGGCACTCTCCTCAGTGGCCACGCTAAAGTTTTCCAGGATCACAGCAATGTACATGTTGACCACAATGAGAAAGCAGATGATGATGTAGCTGACAAAGAAGAAGATGCCTACTGATGGATTGCCACAATTGCCTTTGTAGGAGTTGCCTGGGTGCTCCAGCTGGCTCTCACAGTCAGGGTCCCTCTTGTTAAGTATGGGTGCCAGCAGGCCATCCCACCCAGCTGAGGTGGTAATCTGAAACAAACAGATCATACTGTTCCCAAAGGTCTCGAAATTGAACATGTCATCGATTCCTGCCTCCCGCTTGACATAAGCAAAGTTGGACATGCCAAAAATGGCATAGATAAACATAACAAGAAAGAGGAGGAGGCCAATGTTGAACAGGGCAGGGAGTGACATCATCAAGGCAAAGAGAAGCGTCCGGATGCCCTTGGCACCTTTGATAAGGCGGAGGATTCGGCCTATCCTGGCCAATCGTATCACTCGGAACAGTGTCGGGGACACAAAGTACTTCTCGATAACTTCAGATAAAAACATGCCTGCAAAGGAAAAAGAAGCCCCATTGGATTTTTTTGTGTTGATATACTTTTTATATTTTTTTAAACACCATCAAATGAAAAGAACTTTAGGACATCTCCTTACCTACAATCGAAAGGATCACCACCACAAAGTCAAAAATATTCCAGCCAATGGTGAAGTAATAGTGACGCAGTGAAATCATCTTGAGCACACACTCCCCAGTGAAGAGCACAATAAAGACCAGATTAATCCAGTACAGGATATGGTCCATCTCTTTCGTCTGGTCATCCGTCTCTACCATCATGGTCACCATGTTAAGGCAGATGAGGATCATGATCACGATGTCAAAGGCCTGCTTTGTGATGAAGTCAAAGACACAGCCTTGAAACGCATTCTGAAAAAAAAAGAGAGACAAGGAATGAAAACAAATGAGTCATTTCACTCTGCTTGGAGTTGATTAGAAAGACCTAGGAGTCCGAGTCTCACTGTTGGTCGAGGTATAGGTTTCTGCGGCTTCTTGGACCCCAGCTTCTTCATGGCGTTGTAGTATTTCTTCTGTTCTTCAGTCATGAAGATGTCCTGACCTCCCAAGTAAAGAGAGCAAAAACTTGGTTATAACCACATACTTTGAAAAAACAAAACAAAACAAAAACCCAAAATGAATCTGGTTTTAATTTTCAGATTTTTTAAAATCAGCATTCTAGTTGTTATTATTTTGGAAATTTAGCTCATTTGTGTTTTGTTTGATGATTATATTATATTTATATATTTCCTTGTTTATTGTTGCGATTCCATTTGCTGTTACATTTTGTACATCATTTTACTCTTTCCTAAAGGCTTTAAATTTCAGCCAAAAAATTACTACTACATGATTCCGAGAGGGAAAGATATAAATTTCCCTCTCGGAATCATACACACTATACACATCCCACTCTCATTGCTGCTCACTGATTGCATACATATCTCAGGGGGTGGCTGGTGTCAGCATGGAACAACCATCTGTGTGATGCTTTGGAGCCACTGTACCACACCAGCCGATAACATGTCTCAGTCAGTCAAATCAGACCGGCCATCATGCAGAAACTGTCAATGTAGACCCATCCCCTCCCCGTCCTCTCCATCATAAATCTCCCGGGTGTTGTCGATTCTACTTGTTAGTCTGCATGGCTCAATGGAGGGTACATTTCCACACTGCATGTGCTACAACACTGCTCGTGCATACAAAAGCAGCTTTAGATGACCATTATTTTGTAGCTCACTGCTTTCTTTAACACAGCCCTGGGTCTACCTTAGCTATATTTTCCCTGCTTTGTACCCAGGCTGCGTGTGCTCTCTGCACAGTGTGGCACAGGACTGCTTCCTACTGGTGTTCCAATTTCAAAAGAAGCGTCACTGTAATGCACTACCAAAGCTATTTGTGTCAACATTAATAAAAATAGGTGGCATTGTGGCTCAAGAGAGACACGCTCTTCTATTATATTTTATTCACGATTTTGTGTTTTCTAAGAAATATTACTGCAGGGATGTATAAGCGAGTTATCTAAGAAATCTCCATATCTGCCTTAATTGAAAATGTAGCCCATATAATTTGGTCCACAAATAAACCCCACATTAGCATTTATAACATTTACTCAACAAAAATGAGACACAGAACAAAGGTGGAAGCTTGCAGTTAACTCAACAACAACATATTTAACAAGTCTGAATTTCATTGCTGCTGTAACACGAGACATTTAATAAATCCAGAAACCAAATAAATAATCCATCATTTTATTTTTGCACAGCCACGTCTAGATGTATAATATCTAGACAACATAACACAGCTGTATGCATCTATCAAATTTGACAAATCTGCAAATACATCCCCATTTTTTACTTAAAAAAATGTTATCCACCTCTTAAAGTGATTTAAAAAGTGATTTCATACTAAACACATTTTTGGTGTTTTGAGCAAACTATAGTTTTACATTTACGCAAAGACAGAGGAGCTACATGTCCAAAATCTGCTTGTAATTAATAAACTGGAGAGGAAAACTAGAAGGAATTGTCTCTGGTGTGAAACAGTGTGACGATTTCACTGCAGATTGACAACACAAATTAGCTAGCTCACCGCAATTAGGAATCCTAAAAAGTCATTAGAATAAAAATGGTAACTCTCTTAAATTGAACTCTATAATGAGAATCCTTTGCTGTGTTAAGACCTAGCCAAAAAAATACAATAAATAAAGGTAATACTTTACAAATAATATAACTTAAAATGCCCAAACTGAAAGAAGCCTATAAAATATGTCGGTTTACATTAGCTGACAGAAACTATTAGTCAATATAACTTTTAAATGAAGATGTAACTTATCTTTTTCTTCTGCTGATTGAAGTTGTCGATAATGACACCAATGAAAAGGTTGAGTGTGAAGAAGGAGCCAAAGATGATGAAGATGACAAAGTAGAGGTACATGTACAAGTTTACTTCATATTTAGGCTGTTCTTCCAACTAGAAAAGTAAAAAAGAGCAAATTTAAAGTTATACCAGCTACCATAAAAATGTAATATACAAAGATATGATGAAAATATTAAAACATAGATTATATTAAAATATAAAAGCAAGGACTTTTCACTATGTGGAAGCAAACCTACAACTCTGTTAAACATCTACTTACATCCCGAGAGTCCACAGCTGCATACATGATGTCCATCCAACCCTTAAATGTTGCCTAAAAGCAGGTAACAGAAGAAACAGTATTTTAGCAGGAGATGGGCAGTTTCTCTATGAGAGCTAGACAAGACTGTAGAAGTCCTTAACCCATCGTCAGGACTTGTAGGTGCTCTTTTGAGCACTGCCAAAACCCTACAAAATGACCACAAAGCAACCTCCAGTAGAAAAAATCAAAAATAGACTTCATGAGGATGGCCTTAGGGTTCGGCATCTTCTAGTGGCCCCTGTGCTCACTCTGCTTGGTACCGGAGCTCAAGTGGCACCTAAGTGCAGTGGCAAAGATGAAAACCAGCACAAAGAGATTTTATAGTGATGCCACAGTAATTCTACTTTAGAAACATGAACATGTTTGCATGACAGCAAACAGCTTCTGCCTCTAAACAGTTTCAGCAGCCTGACTGCTTGTACATGTTGAAGTTTGCACACTTGTCCTTTTATGTAATAAAAGTAAAAGTAACGTTTATAACCATGCTGTAGACTGCGCCACTGTTTTCCTCTTCTGGCACACAGACTGAAATCAGCTGACTGTAGTGCAAGTGGAACTGATAAGTGGAATCGATAGGCAAGCAGACTAATAAGTCCAAGGAATGGAACTACAAGGTTAGCACAATTATTTTTCATTATACTCTCATAATGGCAATATAGGGCTACAGATTCTTCAGTCCTTCTCTCTTTATACATGGAAGGACCGGCTGTGTGCTTTCTTTGCTTTAGGATTTTGAACTGTGTGTGTAGGTCATCAAATTGAGACATGCCACCAAATACAAATGACCTAATCCAAAAATGACCATCAAACGTCAAAATGACCTTTTGACTAAGTGGTCCTGTCAAACCTCTCACCTAACCCCAAATGGTTCTGTGTTGAAGTGTGCTGGTCAGATGGTGGCTTTGTGTTTGAGTTTACATGTTTTTCTTTTCCTGCTTGTTTTTTTTCCCTCAATTTGACCAGAGTAAAATCTCCCAATCTATACGAATAAGTGGATATAGTTTACGGATGGATGGCGCCAACTGCAAGATTAAAGCTAAAGACAGACTCAAATCACAAAACAGAATTGTAGAAGTCAGACAGTTTCGGCATAAATGATTCCAAATACATATGTATACTTTGAGATTTCTGCTCTTTTCTTCTTAATGCCAATTGCAATCTAAACTCACCACTTGCAACAGAGCCAGATAGCCGGCTCCCACATTGTCAAAGTTGATTTTAACATTCTTCCAGCGGGCACTGTCATTCAAGCTCAGGCAGTCAGACTTGTTGTTGACGACTTCGCTAGGGAAGGGCTCATCCGTGGTGGCATTGACGCAGTAGTAGTACTTGCCCGCAAACAGGTTGACACCCATGATGCTGAAGATGAGCCAAAATATGAGGCAGACCAGCAGCACGTTCATGATGGAGGGGATGGCTCCCAGCAATGCATTCACCACAACCTAGGGATGTCGAAACACACAGTCTGACTCAGAACTCACCGTTTTCTCAAATCAAAGTCTGTGCTAAAGAAGGATAACTGGCCATTACAATTATCTTATCACTTAGCTGTCAGAAGCACATGTGGTCAACTGACTGGATTGAGCCAAAAAGTTTATGCTTTCAGAACAAATACCAAGACTGAATCAAAAGTTAACAGTGAAGCTGTGTTACTCAGAGCTGTGATTAATAAACAATATCTGCACACATAAAGCTCTTAACACCATACATATCTACTTAACAACATGACAGTTGGAAAGAAGAAGGTGGATAGGTGAAAAGGCTACCATTTGAAAGGTAAAAAAGCAAAACAGAAAAAAACCTTAGAGAGGCGGGATGAAGTCACAACATTTTGTTTGACTGTAAATGAAAAAAAGACACACAACAAAGAAAAAAATTACAGGTCAAAGGCACCACGCAAGCAATGCCAGAAAAACAATGCCTGAGAACAGCTATATACAGCAATCCATTAACACAATGTGAAGAAAGTCATGCAGAGAGAACAATTACAGTGTCCAACTGTAAGGAAATGATACATTTACAGAAGTTTTAAAAGCATGCAGTCTTACAGACAGGCCCCTTAAAAAGCTAAAACCTTCTTACAATATCTCTGTAAAAAGATTTATCAAGTAACATTAAAATATTGAAACACGAAAGTAAAAAAAATACGGGGGCATTTTCCCTTCAGCATATCTAAAAGCATATCTAACAAAAACACTGAGAATGTCTATACAGCTTCAGCGATACAGAGAACAAAAAGAATGTCATAAGAATTCACCTTTCTAAGGAAAATAAAGACGTAGGCTGAAAGTTCAAATGAGCATTTTTACATACCGTTTGCAAAATAAACCTATTTACGTTACATTGCCCAGAGTTAGATGATAGCAATGATATCGCTACCAAAAGTCTTTATAAGTCTTGGTCATACTGTTTTTCTTAATGGAGGATTATATGTGGAATGAAACTGGGTGCTCATTGACTAATGATCTGACAAGTCATTAATCAGTGAGCACATGCTCAGAACCTGGTGGCTATAGTTCAGGAGGTAGAGCTTCCTGTAAAAGGGAAGTTTTTCCATCCCACTGTCGCCAAAGTGCTTGCTCATAGGGGGTCATATGATTGTTGGGTTTTTGTCTGTATGCATTATTGTAAGGGTCTACCCGACAATATAATGCACCTTGAGGCAAGTGTTGCTGTGATTTAGCGCTGTATGAATAAATTAGAAGTGAAAATTGAATTGAATAGAACAGGTCATCTACTAATCAGAAAGTTGGTGGTTCGATCTCAGGTTGCTTTTTAAAATTTAGAGCAGGTCATCATCTTTGCATGACACAGCCAGCACTCAGGTTGCAGTTAGTTATTTATATATTTTTAGGTTCTCAGACAAATCAAGCCAGAATACACTAAATTTTCTTTAAAAAGTAGAGACTTCTTAGTCTTGTTAGTAGAAACAACACGAAGCAATCATAGAGGAAAGCTCAGCTTGGGGTCGTGACATACCCCTGTACTAAGTGATAGAAAGTTTGAAAGTAGCCAATCCAAGAGCATTATTCATCTCGGGCAGTCCAGTATTCCAGAATCGTAACATTTTACTGCCCGTAGCTCTCTCACATATTTCGGGCATATTTAGGGTTTAAACTATAAAAATAGGGATTTATATGCATGTCAGAAATGTGTGTTTTTAACAATTTGCAGGTGCTCAAGGCGTCGACTGTACTAACTAACAAGAGAGTGGTATTTTTTTCCCTTAACTATTGGTACATAAACAGATAAAAGTAAAACTGAATTCCATCATATTTTACAATTTAACTGAATATCTGAAACCTAGACATTTTGAAGCATATGGAAGATGTAATTGGTTGGTGTGAGGATTGATCTTAATTCTTTTTTTTTCAACTTGCCCACAAACAGTATTCCTGCTGTTCTTACCCTCATGCCCTCAAACCGAGACAAGGCCCTCAGGGGCCGTAGAGCTCGCAGTGTCCTCAGAGATTTGATGGCACTAAGCTCAGAGTAGCCCAGAGCATTTGCTACCAGGCTGACCAAGGACACCTGAGAGGAGATAATATCAGATAAGCAGGGTGAAGGGTGAAAAATGAAAGGATTTCACTTGCTCTGTGCTATAATGAGTGTTAGAAAAACAACTTCAAGTAAAGAAATGACAGAACAATAAGTTAACTACAATTATGTCAGCATGGCTGTTATTAAAGTTAATTTTCTTTCTTGTCAAATGTTTAATGAGCTGGCTTATGTTATCACAAAGAATGGAGGGAAGAAGATTCAGCTGACTTTGCTAACTTAAGTCTTGGTGTGGGCCATGGTAGCGGTCTGTTCCAGTTACCAGTCCATATGCTGTTAAGGTGCTTTCTGGTTCTATCGTCTCATTGTACACCAGATTGGAGGCTTAATTTTAATAAGAGCGAACACTGAATATACTTACGTCTACAATTAAGAAGTCCAGCCAGCACCAGGCATTGGTGAAGTACTTGACAAAGCCATATGCCACCCACTTTAACAGCATTTCAAGGATGAAGATGTAAGTGAACACTTTGTCTGCGTACTCTAGCACGGTTTTGATGGTCCGCCGCTGCTCGATGTAAATGTCCTCAAAAGCCTGTGCAGCATGGAATATTTTATAGAAACTTTAGATAGAAATAGTGAAGTGTGAAATAAGGGATTCATCAAAGATCTATTCAGAATGTTAACAGGTACAGTAACTGCTTAGAGAACTGAAGCTGTCCTAAATGTGGTGCTTTCAGACTGTGAAATAAAAACAGAAAGTATATAAAAGCAAGCCAAACGAGTGCAGTGAAGAACAAACTCTGTTCATAAGACAGACCCCAGCAGTGTTTATCAAGATGTCTAACACCCACTCACCAGTGCTCCACTGCTCAGCAGAATCATGAATATGATGAAGGATTCAAACCAGTTATGCTCTACTATGATAAAGCAGGTTTTCCTGAGTGTCCACCAGCTCTTAAACTTGTCTCCCTCCTCACTGATCTGGCAGCACTGGAACCTGCGCACACAGCCTGCAGGCACAGAGAAAACAGAATGAGAAATGAAACCCAGGTATCAAAACTCCATGGTGAATCAACACATAAACACGGCCCCACTGGATGACATATTGCGGGACTGCTTTCTGTTATCCAGATAAGTTATATGAATACGAACTGCATGCCTTAATACGGTAAAGGTTGTTGCTAACATTTTAGCCAACAAAATCCCAGAATAAACTGATTTTTCACTGCTGTTACAATAATTGAGCCTTTTGTTGTTATTTCACATAACACTGCTTCTGTCCTGTTCATGACTTCTTGAAGTTTCATTGTGATCAGGGTCGACCCTCCCCCCACACACTGTTTTTATTGAAGAATTTTCATATTCTGTGATTGACTGCAATAAGTTGTGGTGACCAAATGGTTGCCCAGGGGTTGAGGGTGTTGTATTCTGTTGTATTTGTATTGTGTTGCATTTCTGGGTGCTACTTTGATTGCAAAGCTGTTGCTCAGATTAGCTGGTGAGAGGCAACCAGTTTCCAAACATTTAGGTCTGACTCGGACCGACTGGATTCACTTTCACACAGATTGGAGTCAGTTTGTGCCAATAAGTCCATATTATTGGCACAGTAAGTCGTTGGAGTAGTCCATCCAACTCAAATAGTTGTCAACTGGTTGTACAGTCGTAGCCAAAAGTTTTGAGAATGACACAAATATTGGAAATTGGAAAAGTTGCTGTTTAAGTTTGTATAATAGCAATTTGCATATACTCCAGAATGTTATGAAGAGTGATCAGATGAATTGCATAGTCCTTCTTTGCCATGAAATTTAACTTAATCCCAAAAAAAACCTTTCCACTGCATTTCATTGCTGTCATTAAAGGACCTGCTGTGATCATTTCAGTAATCGTCTTGTTAACTCAGGTGAGAATGTTGATGAGCACAAGGCTGGAGATCATTATGCCAGGCTGATTGGGTTAGAATGGCAGACTTGACATGTTAAAAGGAGGGTGATGCTTGAAATCATTGTTCTTCCATTGTTAACCATGGTGACCTGCAAAGAAACACGTGCAGCCATCATTGCGTTGCATAAAAACGGCTTCACAGGCAAGGATATTGTGGCTACTAAGATTGCACCTAAATCAACAATTTATAGGATCATCGAGAACTTCAGGGAAAGAGGTTCAATTCTTGTTAAGAAGGCTTCAGCGCATCCAAGAAAGTCCAGCAAGCGCCAGGATCATCTCCTAAAGAGGATTCAGCTGCAGGATCGGAGTGCCACCAGTGCAGAGCTTGCTCAGGAATGGCAGCAGGCAGGTGTGAGTGCATCTGCACACACAGTGAGGCGAAGACTGTTGGAAGATGGCCTGGTGTCAAGAAGGGCAGCAAAGAAGCCACTTCTCTCCAAAAAAAATATCAGGGAGAGATTGATCTTATGCAGAAAGTATGGTGAATGGACTGCTGAGGACTGGGGCAAAGTCATATTCTCAGATGAAGCCTCTCTCCGATTGTTTGGGGCATCTGGAAAAAGGCTTGTCCGGAGAAGAAAGGGTGAGTGCTACCATCAGTCTTGTGTCATGCCAACAGTAAAGCATCCTGAGACCATTCATGTGTGGGGTTGCTTCTCATCCAAGGGAGTGGGCTCACTCACAATTATGCCCAAAAACACAGCCATAAATAAAGAATGGTACCAAAACACCCTCCAACAGCAACTTCTTCCAACAATGCAACAACAGTTTGGTGAAGAACAATGCATTTTCCAGCACGATGGAGCACCGTACCATAAGGCAAAAGTGATAACTAAGTGGCTCGGGGAACAAAACGTTGAAATTTTGGGTCCATGGCCTGGAAACTCCCCAGATCTTAATCCCATTGAGAACTTGTGGTCAATTCTCAAGAAGCGGGTGGACAAACAAAAACCCACTAATTCTGACAAACTCCAAGAAGTGATTATGAAAGAATGGGTTGCTATCAGTCAGGATTTGGCCCAGAAGTTGATTGAGAGCATGCCCAGTCGAATTGCAGAGGTCCTGAAAAAGAAGGGCCAACACTGCAAGTACTGACTCTTTGCATTTGTCATGTAATTGTCGATAAAAGACTTTGAAACGTATGAAGTTCTTGTAATTATATTTCAGTACATCACAGAAACAACTGAGACAAAGATCTAAAAGCAGTTTAGCAGCAAACTTTGTGAAAACTAATATTTGTGTCATTCTCAAAAAGCAAGGTTGCACTTATGTCACCTCACAGTTTAACAGCAATCGCTATCCTGTAGCAACTACATCACTATTTGTAGAGGAATTTTGGGAAATCTATTTCAGACCTATGATGTTCTGGCTCGATTCTGAATGTAAGTAGTGAATGGGAATTTATATGTATGCAGATGGCAACAGCGAACTTAGAAGATGCTGTTTAGTAGTTGGGACCAAAGAAGAGCTTTGATGTAATCCCTTTTTGATCCAACTGAATGTGTTAACAAAATTACCCACAAGAAATCAGTCAGCTTTTTTTTGTTTGAGGGGTTTTATTTTGTAAATAACCTTAAAGTGACTGAAATAAATATCCAAACATCCAGAAATGTCCTAATGTCATTAATTATTGATTTCAATCATTTTTTTACGCAAAAACTGATAAACCAACCAAGCTTACTGCTCTAAATCTGTGACCATGCTTCACTGCAAACTATTAAAGTGGAGTGATTAAAATCAAAGTCAAATGTTAAGCATGCCTGTTTAGCTTACAACCTGAGTAGGCAACCAGATGCCACAAGGCTGAATGCAGTGGCCCAGGGTTGGTTCTGACCCAAGGCCCTTTGCTGTACATCTTCTCCCACACACTCTCACACTCTCTGCTTTCCTGTCTCTCTTCTATGCTATCTTATGAAAATGCAAAAGCTTAAAAAAATTGAAAAACAAAATCAAAGGAGTCCACAAAACTTTCAGGCAGCATACAGAATTCAGTTCAGTTTATTTTTTTTCACCAACATTTCATAAAATCTTTCCATGCAGTTGTTTGAAAATCCACTGAAAGTTAAAATATGATTGCTCACTGAAAGGGTCTTAATGTTCTATTTGACATATTAGTAACATAGAATAGCGTTAAAATATGTTGTTCTTTGTTGTTAATTCATTCGGGGTCTTATGCTTTCATCTGCTGCTATGATTTACGCACACTCATAATGCAAGTCATAATATATTGCTTACATCTGTTATATGCATATTCACGATTGTACTGGAGGTGGCTCCAGTAGTGGTTTACACACCTAACAAGCAAAATATCTCTGCCTCGATCCCAGGAGGAGACACAAATCCCCTCAGGAAGGCCACGCGACATATCTCCCAAATCTCCCAAATTAAATAGTCAGAGCTACCCGCTGTAGTGACCCCTTTATGAACAGCAGAGCTGCTGAAAGTAGCTTTAATGGTACTAAAGGTATGTCAGATAAAATGTCAGGTTACATTACAAAACAACAGAACCCCACAGACCACATTTTTATCTGTTCCGCTGAGCATTTGAATTCACTGTCACTCAGTTGTTAGTCAGACAGACCTGTGCTAAGCACAAGCAGTTAATGCGATTTACTCCAAGTCTTGAAATGTGCTCTGGAAGTGTTTTGTCTCCCCATCTTCCTCGCTCTGGTCCACCTTCCCACTTTCCATCATCATCCCTGCCTATCACCCTTGCATCCCACTTACCCTCTGTAAAGCAGGCTTCTGGGTCCAGTGACTCCTCAGGTTCCAGCTCCACTGAATCAACCCCATCTCCAGGGGGGCGGATATCGACTGTGCTCCCCTCCGATGAGCTCAGTGGCTGGGGCTCTACGTCGAGCTTCTGCATGGATGAGGAAGGACACGAGAGGACAAAGTCACACTACAATGCATCACACTGAAGTCCCTTGGTTATAGGAGCCAACCTTCTGAGCTGGTTATCATTGTGATTCTCCAGTCACACGTACCCCAGTGCCACGATTGAATACCATAGTGTGAGGACTAGGCACTGTAATAGCTCACAGAGTTGGGCTCTTTAAAGTCATTGTATCATCATCATCACATGCAGCATCGATCAAATGTACCTACAGGCTTAGGAATTAGATTTATCTGATGGCTCAAATCAGATTACGTGGCATGGGGAAGTTGGCGTTATGGAAATGCACTGTGGGTACGTTTGATGTGACCTCAGTTCGAGGAATAGTTCATGCAGTATTCCAGTGCATTATCAATCCAAGCCTGAAATAGTACCAAGCAGAACGTGTGCTCCAGTGTTTTCATGTCCACTGAAACTGACTGAAAATCAATTTGTTAAAGATATTTATCCCATTTCTTTTCTAAAAATTATGATCTGAAATTCTTTTCCCACCCTCAATCCTAAAATCCACCCTCAGAACTGCCGCTGAAAATTTTCCTCAGTGACATGAAAACACCATTTATTTCCATTCCTTGAAAGCAGTGTACAAGCTCCTTCTGTTTGTGTTGAAGTAGACGGAGAACCACATTAGCTTACCAGCAAAAACCAGTACTGTGCACTGTTTATAAGACAGCATGTGGTCTGGCAGGTATTTTTTGGGTTCCCATTTGTAAAACATCCGGAATTAGCATCCACACATACCCAGAAACATCCAGGACTAAGATTTGTGTCCTCCACCTCAACCTTCTCTCTGCCCTCCTTACCGTGAATTATGCACACTGCTAACGCTTTTCTAAAACCCTCACATGCAGTGATGTCCATTACAAAATCATCTGCATATAGTGAGACTTTTTGGGTGACGCAAGGCTTCCTGTCTGTTTTCTTTGGGCAGAGATGGTGTTGTTTCCTCATGTCGGTCTGACAGTGCAGCAGCCCTGATTGCCGTGGGACCCAGCTAATACGGCATGGGAATGATGGAAGCATGCTGCTTGCAAGTGTTTTCTGGAAGGGTGGTTTCCTCCCGCTCTATTTCTCACCTTTAATAAGAAACCCATGTTACCTCTTCTGGATGTCAACTACATACAAGGCTTTTAGTCTTAACCTAACATATTTTTATCGGGATAATAACTGGTAGACTTAATTATCAGGTGATGAAATATTTGCAGTGTAACAAAAGTCGATAACACAGGGGCAGAAGCGCCAACAACAGAGGTGGCTTCTTAAGCATGTATATATAAAGCATTTGCCCTCATTTACATAACTCTGATTCAGTATAACCAGCCATGTGTTACCTGTTTTACCACCCTGCAAAAGTCATCATTTACACATCAGCATTTCTTTATTTTCTTCTCGGAAAGAATTCTGTTAAGAATCTTTCATCATTCCACTATTACTCAAGTAAGACAAAAAACAGGTTTTTCATGTATGTATGCATGGGCTATGAACCAGACAAATGAATTTTGTCCAGCTAAAGCAAAATTCATTTCCCCATTCCATCTTTTTCCCCCTTACTCCTCTTCATTCTCCTCTTCCTCTCTTCCTTCATTCTCAAGCTCGGAGTGTTTGATGCCAATCAAGTCCCAAAACCAAGTCAAAAACCAAGCAATGAAATCAAAAGCAAACGTCATGTTAGATGAGTTTATCTATCAATGGAAAAAGAGGTGGTGTTGCTCATTCTTAATGGTTTGGAACTGCAATACAGCCTGATGCTCAGAGATAAATTATGAAAGGGGCGGGTGGGGTAGGGGGGGTTACAGAAGGACTCAGAGGTTACAGCAGTGAGTGCCCTGCTGTTTGGGAAAGGGAGGGGATAAAGCAAAGAAGGAGGGGTAGGGTGGGGTAGGGGAACGGAGGGCAGACCAGGCAAAGAACAAAAATGGGCAATCCATTGAAGGTATGACAAAAAAGTAAGTGTGTTGTTTGTCTGTAAATGGCATAGGCAGTCCTCATGGTTAGTGCTATGGTACAATAAAGAGGTCTTACAATTCTCCTCTCACTGAAAACCTTGAGAGCGCCTGTGACACCGCTGCAATAACAAACGGGGGGTTAAACAAAGTAAGTCATACACACCAAAAGCTAACATACAACCTCAAATCTGTTTTCACTGGTCAGCCCACAACACACAACAAGGGGACCACTTATCCTCAGAGAATATGACTTTAGCTGTCCCCAAATACACATTTCCTAACAGCAATGCAAAAACAGTGGGTTGACACATCTCACACAACGCATACACAATAAGAACATCCACCAACCCCTCACCGGTGTAGCTCCTAATGTTTAAATTGATGTTTGCTATAATTTGAGTTTATGACATTAAATATTATGACAACACAGCATCGTTTGCTGCATGAATATAATGGCTCACCAACTACTCGATACAGGGTTTAAAGATCACCATTGCCTGATTCATATATGGATGATGAGGTGCCGTCGACATAATATAGTGGACATAGACGTAAATAGTCTTCTGGGTTGTTTTGAATCACAGATAATTGGCATCACACCCACAGTAACAGGTTGACATCACCGGGGAGCACAGTCTCAGTGCTCTGTCAGCCTGGCAAGGCTCAAGAGCAAATGTAGCTGCTGCTCTACTAGAATAGGCAATGAATTAGAAAAGAAAAACATGTCTTAAGGGTGAGGTAACTTGTTTTGTTTAAACATTTTATTAATGTCCGGACGCAAGCTGATAGAGCAACATCTCTACATTTCTAATAATACGGCTGCTTCATTAAGTCTTTCTCCACACAGGCACACATGTCCCCTAAAGAAAACAAGATATTAAGAAAGTCTACATGAAATATTACAGAGACACATAGCCTTATGTATATGGTCAACATTAAACTGTTTCATTGGTCAAAATGCAAATTTGAGTCATTATTTGTAACGTTGTATCTTATTCTACTGCCAAGAGCTGCAGGTCTGACTAAAATCTCGAGCAGATTTCATCAGCAACACGGCATGATGCATGTACAAATGAGTCAGCAGGTGTGATATTTTAAAACTGCTTGACTGTCTCTGGAAAATTTCTCAAAAGGCAATCTCTTGACTTATTCATATAGTGATTGACTTCTATTGGGTGTTAAGTTTACACATAAAGGAGCTAATCAAATACAAAAGCTGTGTCATTCAAGAGATTTCTGTTAATCTGACATACTGCAGTCACTTCATTTTTCATCTTACCTCTTTGCTGCCCTCCACGTCAGATGAGTCGCTACTGAAATCTTCTGTGTTTAGGTTCTCAAAGTCTGACTCGCCCACAGCAATAGGCACCGTGACTGTCAGGCTGGGGTTATGAATAAATGACATGTAGTCACAGTCCTCAACTGGGTATTTTCCCGTACTGTCCCGTCCTACACTGACCCCAACCACCAGCCCTCCTGGTCGTCCGTTGCCCTCCCTCATGTACACCCCACTGGGGTCTTTGGTGATTTCCACTGTTGTGTGATTGGAAATGCAGTTGCCCTTGCCATTGCTGTGTAGTTCATCCAGGGGTTTGCTTTCCTCAGCAAGACCAGAGCCCTTTCCGCCCCTGCCAAAGCACAAGCTCTGGAGGAACTGCCGCACTGCGTTTTTGACAAATGCGATGCCCCGCTGGATCCTGCCCACAGCAATTTGCAGGTTGTTCATCTCGCTGTCCTCATCGGTTGCCGCCAGGTTGTCGGCACTGAATGAACTCAGTAGGAGAGCCAGGAAGAGATTTAGAACCTAGGAAAGAGTCATGGGAGGAAAACATAAAAACTCTATTTTATACAGATTTAACTCTTTGCCCTATGAAGTCGACATTTGATAAAAACTCTACAGCTACGTACACCCCGGAAATGATTTGCAGCAACCTGGCGACTAGATACCATAGAAAGCGAATGATGTTTAGAGATAAACTTCCTAAAAAGAAACTTGCTCAAGTTACAAGCGAGCACCTGAAGCAAAGACCAATTAGAGTGAAGAATACAGCTAACTGATATATGACCTGGTAGTAAATATGTTAGCTCACCTACGCAACTGGAGCATAGAATGTCCACAAGCAACCAGTTTCATTAGATTCAACAACATGTGCCACAAGCAGATCGCTTCCAGTGTGTACGTAGCTTAATGGCTGTCCAAAGGTGAAAAACTTAAAAGAAAATATTGAGCCCATACCACCAGGTTTCCAATCACCATGACCATCATGAAGACGATAAGACACATAGTCTGTCCTGCCACCTCCATGCAGTCCCACATGGTCTCAATCCACTCTCCGCACAGCACCCGGAACACGATAAGGAAGGAGTGGAAGAAATCGTGCATGTGCCAGCGGGGCAACATGCAGTCCTCTGAAATCTTACACACGCACTCCTTGTAGTTTTTGCCAAACATCTGCATGCCCACCACAGCGAAGATGAACACGATGATGGCCAGCACCAGAGTCAAATTTCCCAGAGCACCCACAGAGTTACCGATGATCTTGATGAGCATGTTCAAAGTGGGCCAAGACTTGGCTAGTTTGAAGACTCTCAGCTGTTTGAGGAAAAGAAATTATATATAAAATATTTCAGATTTTAATCTTATCAGTTACTGACACATGTTTTATTTATAGACCACCAACAGGCCTAGTTTCTTAGTCCAAAAAAGAAAGTCACGTGTTTAAATGTGTGTGTCTTCTGATGGCCACCAGGGGTTGACTACTCTGAAAGTCAGATTGTATAGAAGTGAATACCAGCAGCCCATTGACTCTTGTATGAATGGGTGAATGTGGCAAGTTGTGTAAAGTGCTTTGAGTGCTCAGGTAGAGTAGAAAAGCACTATATAAGAACCAGTCCATTTACCACTACCATCTACTTTTCACGTGATTCATTGTACACATTTTCCTGATTGAGTTTAGTCACACAGCCCTAAAGACCGATCATTGATCATCTGGCAACCACCGGTCACAAGAGAAATGTATTCCCTGACCAGTCACAAATGTTTACGCAGGAGCGTGCTAGAAGTCTCTCTGAAACTGGTTGCTAGAGCCACATTAATGCAGGTCAGTGACTGGTCAGCGACCCCTGATTACCCCCTAGGTAAAAATATGTATTCTGTGAATGGCTGTCAAGTAGTTTCTACAGGCTGCTGGCAGTTGCTAGCGTGACACTGGTCAAAAGTGGTATTGGTTATTGCACTATAGAAAATGCCAATCTCTATGCAACTTTTGCAAACTACCCATCAAGCAATAGTGATACTGTGAGAAGTGGGACGCCAACCTGAAGTTGAGCACATTTGCCTTCAAAGAAAAAGTTGTATCTCTTGAAATGTGTTGGTAGCAATGGTAAGGACCAACTGTTCTCCACTTCCAGATTGCACGATGGTACTTACAGTTTCACTACAGCTCGGAGAATAAAATGACATGTATTTTTATTTTATTTTAAGACAGTGTCTTGAGCAACCACAGCAATCTGCTCGCAGCCAAAGCATTCACAAGAAGGTTTGGCTTCTTGTGAGCAACACCCTATTTGCAGCAGATTTCACCTGGTGACAGCCAGCAATGACTTGCCAACTGGCTAGGAATGCACATTTGTAGTGATCGTGGGTTATGAGAAGTCACCAACCAGTATCTTAGCCTGTGTGTCTGAGGCCTTGAGACATGCAGTGCCCTCAGTTTCTCAGAGAGATCCACTGCTTTCTTAGTGAAAATCCTCAGCTCAATATGAAGTCTGCAAACCAATGGGTGGCCATGTCCATGTTTCATATGCAATCCTCATTTTGAGTGAGACAAGTTGTTTTTGTGCTTCTAATTACTTCTTGTCTTTTGCCACATATTACATGAACAGATCTGTTTTTCCAATAACTTTAATAATCTACTGAAACTACAATCCAAAAACAAGCATGTTAGGCTAAGTGGTCATTTGAAATTTCAGTGGGAATTTGTGAGGCAGACATAGCACTTAAAGTGCATTAAATTAAGTGATGTGTTAATGTGTGAATGTGATTTGTAATGTAAACCACTGAGTGGTCAGTCAAGTCCATTACCTACTTGTTGTCTCTCTTTACAACTAGCAAAAGTCAAAAAGCTAATCGGATGAAACAGGGAGATCTCACTTTACACCAAAGACAAAAGTAACTTTCAGTGATGCCTTTCATGTGCTGTTATTACATCATTCCCTCATTATTAAAGAGAATTTTTTGAAACATCTTGGTGTTATTGGAGACTGAGGCGTTCTGAACCCAGCGTATCTGTGAGTGATCTTACCAATCTGAAGGACCTGAGTACAGACAGCCCTTCAACGTTAGCCAAGCCAAGCTCCATCAGGCTGAGGCTAACAATAATGCCATCAAAGATGTTCCAGCCCTCCTGGAAGTAATAGTAGGGATCCAGAGCGATAATCTTAAAGCACATCTCTGCTGTGAAGATGCCTGTAAACACCTAACAATGGGGAATAAAAGCAGTTTTAAATCAATCTGGATTATAAAAGATGACTCACAATGACAATGGTTCTGGTTTTGTCAAGTTTAAGTGAAACACAATGAATACTTGCCAAGTTTCCCACAGAAAGGACATTATCAAATTCTTCTGTCATGGGGTAATGCTCCATGGCCATGAAAAGGGTGTTGAGGACTATGCAAATTGTGATTGCTAGATCCACAAATGGATCCATGACCACCATGCTGACAATCTCTTTGATTTTCAGCCACGCAGGACAACAATCCCAGATCAGGCCGGTGTTGGCAAATCTATACCAGCAAGGAGGGCATTTTTGTCTCGACTCTTCAAGTTCTGGAGTACAATAAAAACATCTTCATGAGTTTTAATGGGTTCAGAATGCAGTTTGTTTTATTTCTCTGGATTTACAAATGTGTATGGCCTGACCTTCCATAGTGTTGGTGAGGATACTGGCCACACTCATGGCTCTCTGTCGGCCACCTGGTTCATTTAAATAATCCATAGATGGCTGGTGAAAACCCGACCGCCGTTTCTTAAGCTCAGTATCTGTAGTTGTCCCCTATAAAAAACATACAAGAAAAAGAAACACACACTGTGAGGCTGTCTTTTTAGTATCGCTGCAATACACGGTGTCATTTAATGCACCAGAACTGTTTTGCTAAACAATTTTTCTTTTTTTGAACTTATTACAACTTAGATTTCTACTTTGTAGCTTAATAGCACAAAATTTGTATAATCAAAATATTTAAAGAATATTGATTAAGTGTCATAATCATACACAGCACTATATACGTATTATTGATCACAACTATCTGCTGATGTACATCTTCCTCTTTAAAGTTTCAGTTGTTGAAGATTTTAATTACTTATTACTTAAATTTCTTATGTTAATAATAAAGCAAATTATCTGCAAACTAGTAAGTATCTTTAGCTAAATAAAGTATAAAATAAGCATTGAAAAAGCAGAAAGCAGCAGAACATAGAAATTCTTACACTACAAGTAAAAGTATTTTAAATCTCCACTCCAGTGAAGTACTCAAGCAAATGTACCCAGTTACCTTCCTTCTGGTTCTATCTGATCTCTCATGCAGTAGTGTTGGGTTTTGTAAGATTAAAAGTACTGTTGTACAATCCTGCATCATTTACAGCTACAGACCTTGTCAAGAAATGTGTACCAATGTAATGAGAATTTAATATGACAATATGATATCTCATATCTATTTTTCAACAACAGAATAATGAGGAAATCAAATAAAGGGAAAGGTATGAATATGAACTGGAGGAAGTCAATGGGAAAATAAACCATGAAACCGTTAAGTCACCTCAGGCAGCAGGAGACCTACAGGAGAGGTTGTTACAGAAGTTCCACCGACCAGTGACACCACACCGTTGCAGTCTACTGCACAGTGCATCTTGCCATTGGCGGGCAGCATTATCCGAGGTGCTCCGAGGCTGGTCTGGCTAACGGCACTGCACCGGCGCTCGAGGCGGCGCGGCAAGAACAAGGAGCCCCGGCGACTGTCGCTCTCCTCAAAGGTGCTGTGCTCGTCATCCGCAAAGTCGTTCTCGGAGCCCATGTCTCGCGCCCGGCCACGGAAGCTGAAAAGACTTGCACGGCTGTTCCTCCGAGGTGAGAAGATTGAGCCACGGATACTGAGAAGAGACTGGGGGGGCGGAGATGGGGTTAGATAAGTAAGGAAAGTAATTATAGAGGACATGAAGGAGAATGCAGCATCTAACTGAACCTGACTGAAGCGTATGCATTTTCTACCCGTGTACTTCTGGAAAATGGTAACCTCCAGAGCTACAGCCAACATGAGTTTACACTAATGAGGTTAGCTTAACTTAACTTAGCGTAAAGATGAAATAGTTAGTCTGTCTCAATATATTCTCTCTACTGGCATCTCTAGGCCTCAATAATAAACAAGTAATGTTTAGTTTTTTTACCCCATTAGAGATGGATCTGTTCACAGTCTGCAGCTCATTTAGTTGCTGGTATGGTTAGTCATACAATTCTACATAATTTCATTAAAAATCTTACCCAGTGTGGGGTTTGGCCAAGCTTACAAGAGATGACCTTTGAAAGCTGATACAGATCTGTATCTATTTCAGGAATTTTTCAAGGATTCTTTGACATTGCAAAGAAAAAGCAAGATTGTTCATTTTACATCACTTCTTCACAAATGCATACTGATTTGAATAAATATTAGACAACACTGTCTTGATTTTATTGAACTCTTTTTATTTACCTGGTTGGGTGAAGAGCATCTCTTCTCATAAGAAAGCCTGTTGGCATCAATAGAGAAACGGAAGCTGGACCTCTTGATGCTGTCCTCAGACTCAGATTTGTGGAACTTGTCACGGCACCCCCTCTCCTCCTCTTCCTCCCTCTGCTTCCTCTTCTTCCGCCTGTTGCGTCGCTCTTTGGCGCTTTTCGAGCTGAGCTTAGATGTCCCTGAGGAGGACTCGGAGGTAGGGCGTCCTCTCCCGCTGTATTCGCCACTCTCTGTGGCTGCTGCCGCGGCAACCTGCCAGCCAATCCGAACACAAACACAGTTGTCATAGCAACCCAGCGACTGTCTCAGAGGCTCTGGCAGACTGAAGCGGAGGAGAGTAGCCTGGCAGCTGAGCGCAGCAGCAAAAACAGTAACAGCCAAACACGTCTGATACCTTCTAAAAATTGACTTTTGTTTATTTCCAGTCAAACCATTCTTGCATTTATAACATTTTTCAAGAAAAACAACAAACTGTGTGGATGCTTAGATACTTAGTTTACAGTCTTTTTGAAATTAAACACATTGTCTGTTTCATTGGATATACCGTTATTGGGATAGGAATGTCTTGGAAATGTGTATGTGCTACACTTCAGTGTAAAACATATAATTATATTTTAGCATAAGAATTTAACAGTCTCTCATGGCAACCCCTCAACCTCCTAGTAGATTTATCTTTGGTATCAAGTCCCTTTGAAAGCTCTTGAGTTTGGGTGTCTGTGTTGCCCTCCTGCCCGTCCGACAGGGATACAGAAATACCCCATCAGCCTTTTACTGCTGAGGGGTAATAAAAACATCTGAATGCTTGAGCAGAACCACTGAAGGAGCGCTGAAAACGCAGCTATGAAATGACTCATGTACATTAATATAATAAGGAAGCAAGAAACAAGCACATTAGAATGTTAAACAAATACTTTTTAAAAATGAAAATTAATGTATTGGTCAATGTTTGATGGTAGAGTCATACTATGAAAAAATGACAGTGCCATTATAGAGTGTAGTTTGCAAACTAATCAGCAACATCCTGTGAAGATACCACTCAACTCAGTACCACTGGCTGCTTAGCTATGATGCATCTGCTGCAGACAGTGCTGAGACCAATCAACGCAATAGAAATGAAGCCATTTGACCCGTTTTATTTCAAGTGTGTTCATTTATAAGTCGAACAACTACATTATTTAATTTGGCATCTAATATTTTCCAGTCAACCACAACAGCAAATCTCCAGAGTTGCCTGGGCCTCATTAACAAAAAGGCAAATAAAAACAAAGCTCCCAAACTTCTCTTTCCTCAGCAGTTTGAAACAACATTAATTAATATGGACAGTTATTTAACAATAAATGCCCACATGAAAAAAATGTCAAATAAAATGTCTCAGATAATCATTATAATTAAATAGCTAAAGAGAGGAGGTTACTTATACAAGCAACCTCTTCTCTTTAGCTTTAAAGTATCAGTTCTAAAGAAAAAAGATGAATGTCCTGCCTGTGCCTCCTCCTGCTGTCTCTTCAGCTGCTCCAGCATAGCCTGGAACTCCTCCTCTTTCTGCTGGGCCTCCTCGATGGTGGCCTGGTTTTGCTCGTCATAAGCCATGGCCACCACAGCCAAGATCAGGTTGACCAGGTAAAAAGACCCCAGAAAGATCACCAGCACGAAGAAGATCATGTAGGGCTTCCCTGCTGCACGCAAAGTCTGCAAAATCCAAAACAGCTGGATTATTTTTAAGACAAGAAAACAAGAAACGGGCACAATATGCATCCTTTAGTCCTCAGAAATAAGGCACAGTGATGCTGTAGAACAGGGGACCCCAATACCAGTCCGCGAGGGCCGGTGTCCCTGCAGGTTTTAGATCTCACCCTGGGTCAACACACCTGAATCACATGATTAGTTCATTACCAGGCCTCTGGAGAACTTCAAGACATGTTGAGAAGGTAATTTATCCATTTAAATCAGCTGTGATGGATCAAGGACACATCTAAAACCTGCAGGGACACCAGCCCTCGTGGACTGGGATTGGGGACCCCTGCTGTAGAGGCCTACCCACCTGCTGGTAGAGGTTTTCCCAGTAGTCTTGGGTCATGAGGCGGAACAAGGACAGGAAGGCCCAGCTGAAGGTGTCAAAGCTGGTGTAGCCGTAGTCTGGATTGCGACCTGCTTTCAAACATGAAAAGCCCTCTGGGCAGACCCTTTGAGAAAACAACACTTTGGATTAGATGTACCTTTTATATTATTTTAAAAGAGAAGTAATAAGAGTAAGTTTGAGGGATCAGAACCCTGAAATTTAGTTATTATTGTCACAATGCATACTGTCAATGCAAAGTATAGTAGAACAAAACCTCTGTCCATACCTCTGTCCATTCACATTTCCATTCTGACAGATAGAGACAATTTACTTTAATGACACTGCTGCATATTACAGAGTATCACTGTCCATTCAACCCCCCCCCCCCCCCCCCCGATGCTACGCTATACACGAGCCTTTACCATCATAAAAACAACTTCAATAGTCAATTACAAAGTACAAAACTACCTGCTCAATCTGACTTGAGACCTGGAACACAGTGTGAGACAGACATTGAAAATAACTAAGGAATTTTCCAAAAACAAATATAAACATTTGCCTTTAAACCCCTGAGATACTGCAGTAGTTAACATGATATGAGAGATAGCATTCAAAGGACTTTAATAGGGAGTCTGGCCTTACTTAGAGCTACTTAGAGTTACTCAGCAGATCACAAAGAAGAAGAAGAAAAAAAAGGATAAGTAATCTACTAACACAAGTACAGCACATTGACACGCATGATATAACCTTAGATTTTACACGTTTACCCGAGGATAGAGCAGCAGTTTAGATTCCTGGAATGCTTCTGCACAGTGGCGAGTGTCAAAACTGATTGTGTACGTATACTGAGCTTTGTGGTGTAGTCTAATTGGCCATATAAATAAAACATTTTGAGTCTTACCCAGCACCACTGCCATTTCCACAGAGCAGAGCATCCCTACGGCCAGGGAGGTAATAGTAATTTCCTAGAGGGTAGAGGAGATAGAGGGCTGGTCAGTCACAACAACATCAAAGCGCCACGAGCGTCATGGATATGAGTAATGGTGGCAAAAGAAGGCCAATATGCACCCTGTTGGTTTTTCTTCAGTTTTAGCATATGGCTTACACTACTCATCTGTTTGGTGGTTTTTCATGATGTAAGCACATATCATCATTTAACTGTGTAATAAGTATATCAGTTATCTTCAGTGTTGGGTAAGTTACTTTAAAATAGTAACTTAGTTACATTACTAGTTACTTCTCTCAAAAGTAACTCAGTTACTTCAAGTTACTCGTTACCTTCAAAGTAACTAGTTACTAGGGAAAGTAACTTTGGTTTTACTCAGAATTCTCTTGTTAATGTGTT